TGTGGCAAATTTTAGATTGCCTTTTAGTTGTTTTGTTTTTTATTATATTTAAATTATTATTTTTTATATTACTTTTTTAACTTTGAGGCTGGAACTTGATCAGCAACTGTTGTTTATCCAGCCTTTTTGTAGTTTGTAAGATTATATTGTTGTTTTTTGTATGATAATGTTTTTAAACTCATCTGTATAAATTTTGTTGACATTGTATATATACAAACTTCAATAAATATATGATTATTATTATTATTATAGTTTCGTCTCTAAAAGTATAATCTGTACTCCTAATAAAACAATATACTACTTTATATCAAAGAAAACCTTTGATTTTTCTCGGTCGTAAGTTCTGAGGAAGTTTTTCGCGTGTGTTGTTTGGTTCCATTGGTTTGGTTGTGTTCCGCTTTCAGTTGGTTCCCGTTTGGAAAACAAAACGGTTCTGGTCCAGTTAGGAGTGTTCGCTCCTTTCCTAGCTAGATCATTTGCTTTTTCATTGCCTTCTATCCCTTGGTGAGCAGGTACCCAGAGTAGGAGGACTTTATTTTCTTTGCCTAATTTGTTGAGCTTCTCTAGGCATTCTTTGACCAACTTCGAATTGATGGTTACTGAGTTGATCGCGTTAAGTGCTGCTTGACTATCGGATAGGATGGCAATTTCCTGTTTCCGATAGTTCCTATCTAAGATAAATTGGACGCATCTTTCGATAGCGTAAATTTCTGCCTGAAAGATACTGGGGTAGGTGCCCATTGGTTCGGAGTATTTAGTTTTAGACCCAAATACTCCTATCCCTGTCCCCGCTTTGGTTTTGGAAGCATCAGTATACCACGTTATGGTATGGTCTTTTATATGCTGAGTAAGCGTTTCTTTCTTCCAATCCATTTTATTACTCAATACTACAGTGAGGTGTCTCTCAAAGTTGTAAATTCTTGGTATGTCATCCACTGGAAGTTGGAGAAGTGGAATTTTCTTTTTCGGGGTGTTGTTCCAAGCCCCTGACCTGAAAATTCTCCCAGTACTGTTTCCGTCAATGAAGTTCTTTTTGCATTGTCTTTTGAATCATCGCATTGGCACAACTACCGACCACTATGTGCAGTGGTGTTTGGTCTAGAATGACCTCCATTGCTGCTGTTGGACATGTTCTCATGGCACCTGTGATGCAGATACATGCCAGTCTCTATACTTTGCACAGGTTTTGCCTTGCTGTACGTTGCTCTAGTTTTGTATGCCAAGCAACTGCTCCATAAGTAATTAAACCTATAGTTTCGTCTCTAAAAGTATAATCTGTACTCCTAATAAAACAATATACTATTTTATATTATTGGGTTACGTATGGAAATCTGGACAGTATGGAAAACAATGGAATTAAGTCAATATTTTGAAGTCATTTCCAAATAGAAAAAAAAACACTACATTTTTATGGAAACAGATTGATGTATATTGACGTTATTTTGCGGCAAAGTGAGCATACATCAAACGATTTCAATAAACTCGTTGCGTAATTTTTTTCGGTATAAAACAAAGTAGGAACATTTATCTCGCCTATGGGCAAAAAATCGCGATAATCATTTGGCCAATAGTTCATGATTAAAAAGAACAGCAATTTGGGCATGACGATCGAAAAAAAAAGAGGAGCTTATAATGCCGCCGGGATTGGTTTTCGCAGTGATTTTCCAAAGCAACCGATTTTCAATTCGAAAATGTAAATTTTTGTAATTGACGCTGCCAGATATGGGACCGGATGGAGAGGCTCTCTCGCTCAACGCGTAAATCTAATTTTCCTACGAATCAATAGTATGTCTCCGATTTTTAATATTAAAAATAAAAAGAATCACTTGTGTTAAATATATACAGGGTTATTCACCACATACGACACGGAGTATTGTAGCTAAACGATTAGATTTTTACAAATTGTAAGTTTTGGGTTCGTTGAAGAACTATTAGAGCTACAATTTAAAAATATTTTTAAAAGATACAAGTGTCCCAAATAAGTAAAAAATATTATAGTTGTATTTTTTTAAATGTCTACCACCCCTGTATGTACAAATACATTTTTTGTATTATTCTTTAAGATCTCTAACTTTATATCAAAAAAAAAATTGATATAAAGAAGTAATAAAATTCTTCATAATATCTCTTCATTATTATTTTTTTCTATGCTGTCAGTTAACATGATTTGACGTTAAGGAGTATATTTTTTTCAATTTTCTGCTATCACAGTCTCTCACAAAATATATTTTTTTGTTGTTAGGCATGTTGAATTGTCACAAAAGCTTTTTTTCCATAATTAATTTTATTCCATTTCTTACACATTTCTTTGAGATGACATATTGTAGGATACTTACATTTGTCGATTTATTTTCTTTTTTCCACAGCCACTGTTAAAATTGCCTTATATCTATCAAAAATAGTAGATAAATTTAACCGCAAGGGTAGATTAAATGATACTTTAACAGCGAGGATAGGTTAAAAACTCTATTTCTTCTCGCACGTTTTTTAATTGCTTCCATTTTTGAAAATTTTTGTTTTCCTTTTCATAAGTTATTCGGGATTTAAATGGAACTAGTTTGGATATGGTGTTTGAGCCTCAGCCTGAATATCTGTTGGTAATTTACTTATTTCGTTTTGAGCCATTCTTCTGGCTCCAATTCAATCAGCAATCAACACAAAAGAGTATTACATAGAAATATATTGACTCAAAACTGACAACTAAAGAGACAGCTTTATGTATTTCTCAAATTACATAGAAACCAACGCCAACCCAGCACAATATTTTTTCTACTCGCAATAAATTCCTTGAAATAATAATTTCTGAATATTTTTTAAAACGTAACTCGCTAAGGAAAAAAATATTGTTTTATACACGACGATAAAATTGCATTATATTCTTGTATAAAAAATAACTATTGTTTCAAAATGTAAAGCTATTTTCCGCTATTTAATTTCTTAAGACAAGTAAAAAAGAACGAGTACATTTATATAGATCGGATTAAAAAAAATGATATGGAAATGAATGCCGAATTTATCAACTTCCTCATGACAATATTAAAAAATAAATGGCTGATCACTTTTGAATAATTAATACCGTATATTGCGTAACGCATATCGTATGCAAAATGCAAATCCTACGGCTATATGACAAATTGCTCAACCTTGCAAGCAAACACAAGCAATAAGCGACTCGACTATATATAAAAAAATAAAACGCAAATAAAATGATAAACTAACCAGCATAGAAATGAATATCTTTCATCTCTAATCGTAAATTATAGGCCCAGATATAATCTTCGCAATTTTGCAACGTGCATTACGCATTCGAGTTCCTTAAGCAACTGTCGTTTTTCTTCGTTCGTTTAATTACGTTTACATAAATTTTATTTGTAAAAAAATCTATTATAATTAAATTCCTGAAGTAACACTAAAATATCATCAAGGTAATGTTTTTAATTAATACTTGCATTTTATGAAGACATAAAAATCCCGTTAGGTTACATCTCAGAACATAATTCATAATAGATTACGAAATCAATGAATGAGTATGCGAAAAACTACTTTTATGTGGCAGAATGTCGAACACAGTAATCGATTTTGAAAGTGATTAATACAATGAGAAAAGATTGAAAACTAAACGCATCAAACATGCATTGATGCAATATCAATTTAAGAATATATGAATACTAGCGTGTACCCGCGACTTCGTTCGCGTCGAATTAATCATTCGTACCATTACAAAAAAAATTCTCGCTTTGCTTTATCATCACCGTTTTCCAAAAACCAGCTTTTTACGTCAAGCGCTTTAAGGAGGATCGTGATGAATCAATGACCAGATTTTTCGAAACACCCTGTATACATTTGTAAAAAATCATAAACTAATTTTTACGTATATTTATGTATAAGAGAACACACTTTTCACAGGGTGCCATCAAGAAGCTGCCGCAACTATATGCTTAATGAATAAAAATAATAACTGATTTTGGAGACGACATTACGCTCATAAAATGTTTTGTCATCATGGATTTGATTTTCCTTGTTCAGTGTTTTACCCCACGTCATTGTTATGTTTGAAAGCTTATCTCAATATTGTACCGATGAATAGATTAAATATTAAAAAAAACAGAACACAAATTATTGTGTTCAAATGTCCGAAACAAAAAAAATTAGTGTGGCATATCATTGTACTCAAGAGTTCTGTCAAAACCTGAAATAAAAAATGCAGGTGCGTATTTAAAAAAATTAAGTTGACCTCTGTATTTCACAAATTATCAGCTAATTTGAAAGTCTAAAAATACTATCAGATAGCCCTAATAAAGTGGCTATGAGAATATGCAATTAGTTTTTTGATTTTCTAAAAAGTAACGAATGGAAAAATTAAATTAATTTTCAAAAAAATCCGTTTTTTCCAAAAAACTCAGCAACCTTTAAAAATTTTAAAACTTTTTTGATGGCATCTTGGTGAACTTTGCAAATTTCGCTCAATTTAATCATGTTCGTATCTATTATGATTACCGAAATACCAATGCTCGTAGTACGAATTTGTAGCACCCTGTATAGCACTTACTTAAGACCCTGTATTATATGAAGTTGATAGAATTATCATGTAAATATACAGTATGTCCCCGGATTGTCTTTACAAGAGGATACACTTTTTTATTATTGACATTTTGAGAAAATTGCATTCTTCATAAAAATTTTTGCTTGTTCTAAATAAAATGTTAGAGAAAATTTGAAATATAACATGAAGATATTGTTGATTTTTTTCTAACTCCTAAAAATCGAAAGGTGTTTCTATGATAGATGGTTATTATTAATTTCGATTAACGTCATATTTTTTTTGCTGTTGTTAAAGTATCACATTTTCCAATAACTATTATCAGTCTTTTCATAGCATTGAACTAAATAAATTTTGTGCTTCTTTAACATTTTAAAACAATAAAATAACTTATTTTTGCTTGTAAAACATATTTAAACACAGTCTGAGTAATATGCAAAAAAAATATCATGCAACTCACCCCTGGTGTGCTCGATAGTGGTCCATATGGATATCTCGTCCAGTCTAACATTACTTCTTCGGCCGTGGTATCCAAAAGAACAACTGAAATAAAGAAAAAATGTTGTAATGATACTACAATAACGGTCATAGCTGTAAATAACCATTTGTTACAAGTATAAACTTTTATTCTAAAATAATAAAACTAGACGATAAATGACAATCATAAAACACAAAATTGAATTATCGCTTGATTGATCTTCTTTTGAGTTTTAATGAGGGACTCCGATATTAACCTAAAAAAGGTTTCTTTTACAGAAATAAAAAAGAACAATGGACGACCACTGGATTAAAAAAGACCCATTAAAAAAACACCAGGATTAGAAACAGTGCAGGTGCAATAGCACCGTATCACTGATAGTCACGCCACCGTAACAAATTGTATAAATAAAATCAGACCCTCGCCTGGCTTAAAAGAGTTCACGCAAGTTTAACGGATACAAAGTAAAACGACATAATGGCTTTCTTCTCTAATAAAAAATAAAGAAAACAGTTCTCTATAGACTAATTTTAATATCAAGCAGTTGTTGCTGTTTGTATAACGTAGAATTATCCTTAAACGACACATGTTATTCAAAAATTAACAAATTCACCAACTTCAAACACATTTGTGTTCTAAAAAATGAGCGTATTGTATTGTAAAAAAATTAGATTATTATCTGTTATATATGATATATGTATTTTATTGTAAAAATCAATATATACCGGGTGCGTCTCAAGCTCACCCTTATAACTTTTTTATTATTTCAGATTAAAAAAAGAAGACTTGGTATGTTAGTATATGACAAAAATTAGGATTGATTGACGTATTCAGTTCTTTTCGGCCACTTCCTGTTTCACCAGAAATTACTATAACTTGGAATTTTTAAATGGCATCCTCGGTATTTTTTTTTACTTTATTCGATAGAAAATGACCCTCTGAATAGAATGACATCATATGTCAACTTTCGACATTTTTGTTTAAAACAAAATTGTATTTAAAATTTTAATCTAGAGTGTCACTGCTGTGTTAAAAACACCAATTTTTAATCAAGGAGCCTTGGAAAAATATGTTTGATCGTCTAATGTTTTAGTGTCTTATCCTGGCCGGTTAAAAGATGCTCAAATCGTATTTTTAATGATATCTCAATTTTTTTAATTGGGACGAGGGTGGCTCGTTAGCATATTTGGAAAAAGCATTTTTTTGCGAATAATTATATAGGTACACACTTTTGGTATTTCGAGTCAAATTGTCGACTCGAAAATATCAAAAGTTGACATACGATAATACGTCATTCTATACAGAGTGTTATTTTCTATAGAATAAAGTAGAAATATACCGGGGATGCTATTTAAAAATCAAAAGTTGTAGTTATTTCCAGTGAAACAGGAAGTGAAGAAAACAATTGAATACGTCAATAAATCCTAATTTATGTCATATACTAACATACCAAACCTTGTTTTGTAATCTGAAAAAAATAAAAAAGTAATAGGGGTGAGCCACTTTTGAGACGCACCCGGTATACTTGTAATTGTTGATTTTCCATTTAATCGATTCGACTGAAAGTTACTGAAGGTTAAAGTTTAACTTAAAATCTTATATGGCAACTTTCACAATATTTCATATTTTATCACAAAATAATGGCTCAAAAACATAAAATACCCCATCTTTCGTCAAGATCATCAAGTGGTGTTCTTTGGTAAAACATTGAAATTACAAAAATTACTAATTATCACTAATTACAATAATTTGGAATCATCTTCATTCAATATAGTTATTTATTTTTAACTATGACTGTATGTTTTTTTGAATCTTGTCGGGCGCCCAATACTTTTAGTTTTAGTGTAATTTGGGTACCTCCAGTGAAATACAAATTCATCCATAGAGCAGAAAAGCTGCCGCGCCGTACACATGGGACACAACATAGCTTTTTAGATAATAATTTTTTTGTTAACTAAATCTGCTACACCTTCAATAACTCGGTGGTTTTACCGTAAAAGGCACTATGTCGAAATCTTATTGCGATATTATTGTAACACGAAAAACGTGTTTTCGGCAAAATTTCGAATTCTATAAAAATTATATCGTTTCACTTGGCTTAAAAAGACTCCATTGGGACCATTCTATGGAACCTTTTTGCCACAAATTCCCCACGATGCATGCATCAAAAATCTACATATGGTTAGCGAAACACGCGTCCAGTTTTTAAGTGTAAAATGTTTTGGTGTATTAGTGTTTTAAAGTAAATTAAAGTAAAGATTTTAGTTAACGTCTCCTTTTTGTTGCCAGGGCTAATCTCGACGGGGCTTACTTTATTTACGAGGAATCCGAACCGTGGTCTTCGGCCATATCATGGTCAATGGCCTACCGACTTGGCAAGTGTCTATATCGACTCTTACTCACGAGATATCCGACCTCATCCGGCCTCGAACCGGCGTGAATGAGCAGTGTGTGTCAATAGATTTTACACTTTTGCCTTTTTTTGGACAACAGCACGATACAGAGTTTCGAACCGGTCACCCGTCCATCCACTAGTATCGCCTTACGTCGCTTAACTTCGGTGTTCTAATGGGAACCGGTGTTTCGACGTAGCTGGGCCGTTGCCCTATTAGTGTTTTATTTTATTATTATAATCTTAGAATAAATTTATACTAAACTAAAACACTTAAAATGGAAATATCTGTTGCAAATAAAATCAAGTATAGCTTCAAAATTGAGGTTGTTAAATATCTACACACAAATTTGTTTAACAAAATAAGACAATTTTTTTAACTATTTTAACTTCCTTTTAGTTTATCTCTTGGGTCACATGAGTGTTAGCACATAAATTATTTAATAGTCTGACACAATTTTCTTTCAAGTTTTTTAACGCTACATTTGTATTTCTGACTATTTTTCTATAACATGCAAACAAGAGAATTAGCATTATATTTTTTTCAGCCAAGTAACGCAGAGACCGTAGTATAGTCGGTGGTACTAAAACCCCAGGTGTAAGTAGTTTTGATACATATAATTATGAAATCATACCTGCGGGACATACGATACAATTGCACCGCTACCAGTTTTCAATGGTGTTATTACACAGCTTAACGCTGGCTACTAGAAAAAAGCTGCAACTGACTGTTGTAAAACTGCCGTGACTGACACGTTAAGTAGTCGCCATTAAAATGCATAGTTATTTAACAGAGTAGCTCGTTCCATTTTCTAGAATGGGAAGTATATAGATTGAAAAATTGCATTATGAATAATTATTAGAATTTTATATTTATTTGAAAGAAAATATGTTTCTGGTTTTATTGGAGTAATATTTCAAGTATGTTTATGGGGGTGATTTTGTGCTGTCGTGTTTCTATACTGATAAAATATATACAGGGTGGTCCGAACTGTATTCCGGAAACTTCGGCAGCATGTTCTGCAGATAAAAATAAGTAAAAAAGTTCTTAAAATGCTTAGTTTCGGAGATACAGGGTGTAGAAGTTTCATTGCTATTTCAATTTTTTCCAAATAATATCTGAAGTAACGCCAATATTTGAATGAAAATTAGTGTCTGGAAGTTTTTTGACATGAGAAATTTGATTTTGATGTCAATATGACTCCTATTTGTAGGGGGCGCTACCTCCATGTGTTTTAACTGTTTTGAAGAGTAATAGCTTTTTGTCCGTACCTGTATTAAAGTACTGAGTGAAAAAATATACATTTCCATGACTTTTTACGTAAAAAATGTCTCTTGGTAAAAATCGCTACGAGTAACCGTTCTCAGGATATTTAGAATGGAAATAGTCAATACATGTCATTATTGACAAAAATGAACACGTTGAGTAGACAGTTATTTGACTGAAAAAATATATTTCGGAAAATATTTTTTTTTAAATTAATCATAATTAAATTAAATTATTTTTTACGAAGAAATGATGATAAAACAGTTTCTGTTGAAGTTTGGTCAAAAAACATTTTAAATTTATGATTTCAGTCTAATAAGTACTTAGTCAACATGTTTAATTTATGTCAATGTTGACAGGTATTGATAATTTCGATTCTAAATATCTCGAGAACCATTACTCGGTAGCGGTTTTTCCTAAGAGAACTTCTTTACGTAAAAAATGTCGTAAATTGATATTTTCTTACTCGGTAGTTTTATACAGGTACGGACTAAAAGTTATTACTCTTCAAATCAGTTAAAAAATATGTAGGTGGCACCCTCTACAAGTAGGAGTCATATTGTCATCAAAATCGAATTTCTCATGTCAAAAAACTCCCAGACACCAATTTTCATCCAAATATTGACGTTACTTCATAAATTATTTGGAAAAAATCGAAATAAAAATGAAACTTCTACACCCTGTATCTCCGAAACTAAGCATTTTCGGACATACATTTATATGAACTTTTTTACTTATTTTTATCTGCAGAATATGCTGCCGAAGTTTCCGGAATACAGTTCGGACCACCCTGTATATATTAAATAAAAAAATTTAAATACTATAACTGGTACAGTATGGTTAAGGTACGCGCACACTGACACTGACCAGCGCCGCACTCGCCGCACGCGCCGCACGAATCGCACTTTTTTTTCTTGTCGCGCACACTGAGCCGTACCGAACGCGCCGCATTATTCGCTATTTTGTTTCTTTTTGCCCCTACTACAGCCGTATTTGCCAATCGAATTTCTCATCAGTCGCTTCCGGAGTCCTGTTTGCGGTGATAAGCGTGTTTTTTAATATTTCTTGACAATGAATGACAACGTACAAGAAATAATTATGAGCTTGTTGCTAATAGAAGAGGAAGAAATCACGAGAAAGAATCGAAAGTTATAGGTTCACAATATTTGCAAAAATCCACATTATTCCCATATTTAATGAACTAAAATTTTTCAATATGAGCCATGAAAAATTTGCGATCTTAGCATACCTAATTGAATTTCTAATCTCCTCTTTGGCTACCTACGTAGAGTCGAAGGAAATGCGTGTGACGTCAGCAGCACTAGCCGCATTTAGCGAAAATCACTCTGGCCCAACAATGCTGGCCGCATTTTCGTCGATGCGATTCGTGCGGCTCTGGCTAGTGT